AAACTTAACTCACAATAAGTATAAATCACTTTTCAATGCCAACAAACATTGCAACTAGAACAGTCTTCGTCAAAAAGTAATCGTCCCCTTTTTTCACCTTTTGCTAGTTCAAATTGACCGCTCATTGTTTTTAAACATGTTAATGTTCTCATTAATATTATTAATCATACATTAAATAATTTAACGCTATTTTTAATGTACATCATCATCTCTCTGGGTATGTTTAAAAGTAAAAGGACTAGCATTGTAAATGAAAAAAACTAAAAGAATTTGAAGCATTAAAAAATGTAGAAATTAATAACAAAAAGTGCTAAAATTATGTAGACCAATAGTTATGCTTTTACTGAATTAAATCATAAATGATTAAATATTAATCAATTAAAGTATCAAATCATTGTTCAAATGTCCATAGTCAAACCAAATAAAGATGAATAAATCAAATAAGTCTTATCTAAATATTAATAAAACAATAATACTCAAACTTTAGCATCATGGTTGTGATTATCATTATCATCTTCATTACCATCATCTCCAATATTAACAATATTGGATTGTTCGTGTTTCACTATGATTTAACTCTTTAGTAATAAAAAATATCATTTTTTTTAATTTAGGCTAGTGCTTTCTTTCCCTCAACACTTTACTCTCTTTTTTACATTCAGCTTCTCTCCCTCCTCATTTATTAAATATTAATAATTTTTTAATACAAAATATATAAATACATCAACACACCCAAATATTAAGTCTGGCTTGACGGACTTAGCCCCTTTTGCCAGCTCTACCAAATGGAGGAGCAGTCTATATTTTTAGAAGTTTCATTTTTCAATTATCTTATGAAATATTAATTAAGAGAAATGTTGTATTTATCCCAAAAATACCTCTGACAAAAAAATTACTTGATCCCATTAATTCGGCTCATTCAGTGTAAAGAGAATCAACCATCAACTCTGTGTGTGTGTGTGTGTTGAAGTGTATATTTGGATTGTAGTATTTTATGGACATTAACTTATTACAGTGGTCTGTGTGAATTACTTGAAATGCTTTATAATATACAATAATGGAAAATTGATGGAGTGTAGATATTGATGGTAAATTTACAAGCTTAAAGGAAATAAGGTTACAAAAAAAGATTTATCGATTTGCTATAAGACTAGCAATTTTATATAGTAGTAAATGTTAGCTTTGACAGGACAGCAATAGTATAAAATTAGAGTAGCAAAGATGAGAATATTGAGATGGATGTGTGCATATACACGTAGAGACAAAATTTGAAATGAGTGAATATAAGAAAAAGGGATGCCACCTATTAAAGAAAAAATAATAAAAAATCATTCGAGATGGTTTGGATATGTATAAAGAAGATTACAGAAAGTACCTGTGAGGAGAGTGAAATATATAACTTTCAGCCTTGTCAAGAAAGGTAGAGAAAGATCGAAGAAAATATTTTTAAAGGTTGTTGAGTGAGACCTTTTAATTAACAATATTCTTAAAAATTTAATTAAATAATAAAGCATAATAACGTCATATAATTTATGTAGTCGATTCCACCTAATGAGATAAAATTTATTGTTGTAGATATTCCCCCCCCCCCCCCTTATATTTGAGGCAAAGAACTCCCTTTAAAAATTGTTTGTGCGTGAAATTTGAAGGCAATATTTGGTGCTAATGAACCAAATGCCAACGTTATCAAACCTTATCTGCAGCTATCTACCTGGGTTTTTTTTTTTTTTTTTTACTTCACCTTCAAGATTTGAATTGTTGATTTTACCAAAAAGGGTTAGGAATAGAATCTGTCATACACGATCTCACACTATTAGCGATATTTCAAAGATATTTTTATAGTATTAACATCTTTTTTTGGTTAGCGTTATAGTCTTAAATTCAAAAGATTAAGGAAAAACGTCAAACATAAATGCGCGCAATTTGCGCACAGAAAAAAGAAGGGATTCTGAAGGGGACATTTCTGTCTTTGACTAAAAGCTTTAAGATTGGGACACGCAAGCTGCATCATGTGCATCCTATACTTTAAGAAACCACGTGGTTCACGTTTTAATATCTAAATAATTATTTTATTTTACTTGTACTCTTGTTTTTTTTTTTAAAGAAAATTTTCTCTTTATATCTTCCATATGGTTTTTTTATGCAAAATAGTTAGAATTATCTTATATATATAATTAGAGGGAGTACCGAGTATAATTTTACATACACACGCACGCCACTTCCACTCTTTTTTCTCTAGCTTGAATCATGGCATAAGATCAATAATACACTTGGTATACTTTCAGCACTTGAGATGCTCCAATCTCTATCATTTAAAAAAATATTTAGGTAAATTGTGTGTCTCATGTTATTTATAGTCTGTCTAATTAAAATATTTTAAATAAGTTAAATAAAATCTTGTGTGACATTTTTTAAATTGATTTTATTCTTATGAGAAAATATATATTTGATTTTTTGTCTTTTTTTTTCTATTATTATTAATATTATAATTAATTTATATTTAATATCATTTAAATGTCATATTTTTATATAACAGATCATAAATAATATGATACACTTGATCTATTTAAAAATTTTTATTTTCATATTATCAAGGGAGCTTTTGCATATGGCATAAAATAAATGTCATGTGACGCGTCCCACATCCGGTTTCTTTATCCCATGCTGGATTTCTGGCACAAAAAGTGTTCATAGATTTTTCTTTCTTTCCTTTTCCCCTTCAATATTTTCTCTTATAAAACTATAATCCTCATGTATGTGAAAGCAAACTTTTTTGCATAATTTTTTGCTAGATATATTATAGATAGTATATGAAGTTTTTGTACCTTTAGTTAACCTCAATCTTGTTAAAGGAAGTTTGTGGATGATAAAAAGGAGAATATTGATGAGTTTTGCGATAAAGAAATGCATTTTTCATTCAACAAAACTTGCATATGTGTGCAGTGTCTATGTTTGTTTTCCTTTCCCTCATCTTTCTGGCGGGCTCAAATTATACACGTCAGTTTGAGTTTTTATTTCCTCATGTACTTAATATAAGGTAAACTTAATTAATTTTATGTTTATTAAGAAATGATACTTATATACTTTAAATTGTTAAAAAAATATATCACTTTTCAATTTTACTCTTCTCTATAATTAATAACCATATTACATTATTGTCTAGAAATTCAAACTGCAATGAATAAATAAGAAATAAAAATAGAAAAAAAAATAATTACAATAACTTTGCCATATGTTAATGATTAAAAAAAGCTTTCAAAGTTTGTCTTATATTCTCTCTATAAGTTTTAATTATTTCACTGGAATCAATGAGTGATAATTAATTTTTTAAATATGTCCTGAAATAAAAAAGTTTTCTAACTGTACCCTTATTATAAACTAAATAATTATTTTAGAGAGTATTTTATAATAGGGATAAGAGGAGATATTAAGAACTAAAGAAAATATATACTAATGTTTATATCAACACAAGCTTAACTTGTACTAAAAAAAAAAATTCCATATAAAAAGTTAGACAAGTTAGACATAGAAACTCACCCCAATCAAAATAGCCCTAAATGTGGTGATTCTTTACAAAATACTTATAAATATAAATATATTTATATATCATCCATCAACGATAATTTTTAATTACATTAATAACAAATTTTGAATGCATGTGTCTTTATGAAGTAGTAAGTCAATATTTTTACCCCCTCCCCAAAAATCAATCTTTATTGATGACGAAATGACGATATAAATTGCGGCCCACAATCATGATCCAAAGCTGACTTAGAAAGGCTCAAAATAATGTTCACCAAACAACGTGGGTTGTTTTGGTTAAGTATGAGATGCGTACCACGCTTCCACCCGTTCATCTGGCAAACCGCAACCATGAAACGCCCCAGTTCAACGCGTTTTATAACGGAACGACGTCGTTTCAAGTTCAAGAGAATTGAAGAAGAGTCACCAAAGAGGGGAGGTTGAGAAAAACAACCGGTTCAATAATAACGAGTTTCGCTACGGTCACGTGGCCTAGTGACATCCAAACCTTTTTTTTCCCCCCGGCAAGTGAGAGATCTCATTTAATTCCATTTGTAACTTTAGGAGGTTAGTACATGCCATTTAATTGAAAAAATTACAGACAAAAAAAGGCCCCCATATAAAAATTTTCAGCGCAAGCATGCAACCAATCGAACATTCTAGTCAAAAAAATTGAACTTGATTGCAATCGATTTATAAAATTAATTTATAAGATTGATTTTGAAAAGCAAGTAACAATAATTTATGAAATAATTATAATTTAAAATTCATAATTAACGTTACCATGTATAAGAGTGTTTGCATATTTTTTTTTTAAAAAAAATACTATGGTTTTAGCTTTTATAATTAATTATAAGGTGAGTTTTGGAAGATATTTGACCTCTTTTCAGTTTTTGTTAATGCAAATTGTCATTAATCCGGGAAAACATTGATTATAAGCCGAATCTTAACAAGCACTTTCCCTATGTTTGGATGATGAGAGAAATAAAAAAGAAGGAAAACTATTGGGAAAAACTCCTAGAAATAGTAATAAAAAAAAATTACTGCTTTAAGAAATTTTTCCTCCTCCTTGGTTTCTTCTCACTTTTCCTCCATCCAAACAAAAATTTAACAACTTTGTTAGAATGGTTAGAACTTGTTAAAAATGAAAAATTCATATTCTAGTCGGATAAAATTTCTTGTCGTTCTATTCTAAAACATGTTTGGTTTCATATTGGAAATGGTCAAAGTCTTCCATTAAAACCAAACATTAATTCAGATCTTAAAGCTGTGTCTCAGTATGTGCACTCCTATAAAATTAAGAGAATGTTTAAGCGCTCATCCCAAGAAGTCATTAAAGTTAATTAGCTTAAGCTGGTACTTGAACTCAGAGACGAGATACTTAAGAGATGAAGCTAGACGTTTGGCTTTCACATAGAAAACTGAAATTCCAATGACATCCAATTAGCTCAAAAGCGAAATTAGGCTTATGAAAGAGATAAAAGGAAGAGAATCTGTCATTTAGCCATGCCAATCGTAACCTTAAGTTAGCGAAACGTTACTTACAACTATTAACATCTCGTCTGCCATATCACAGCAATCCCAAAATTGATGGCACTTTAAAAGCGGGTCACAAATGTTGCAGAGGAAAAATGGCGTCTCCATCTCAAGGCTTCTGCTGGAAGCCTGAAATCCATAGACTGCAAGTTTGGTTCTCAGATCAATCTTCTTTCCCCATGAAGATGAAGATGAAGATTATCGTCTGGAATTTGCACCAGGGCACTAAAGATCATCAGAAAAATCAGATTTACAGAAAATAGGACATGGCTGCATCTTGCAATACTAGTTTTGCATGAGCTTGTTCACTATCCTCTCTTCCCCAGCCAGCCATGAAAAAACAGAGATCTCCTTTCACTCACTGGAAAACCACCCTCCTGTGAGATGCCCTATTCAGTTGAAAGAAAGATCAAAGATGTAAAATCAGAAGTTAAAAAACTCATACCAACAACTTATAGGATCTCGATAAATTAAGTTCATGTTAGGCTTACATGAAAGATAAACATTTCCATGGTTATAACATGGTATACTCAATGAAAGAATCTCTTGCGACATCTAGCGGATCCAAGCTCCTCATACTCAGACTTGGTCACGCACATAGCTTCGAAGTCTGGACTAGATGCCAACAATGATCCTCCACGCCAAACGCCTAATATGGGACTGTAGAAGAAATACAAGTTCTGGCATGAAAATTAACAAAGACAAAACAGAACAATTTAAGAAAGATGTTTACTCTTGTTGAGGAGTTATCTTCACGTGGTAGTCATCAGGAACTAGAGGCCGCAGCTCCATCTCTCTACAATTCAATTAGTATCAGTTATCTAAGTTTGAATGCCATGCTATTTAAAACGGAAGGCAATGGAGCTTAAGAAGACAAAAAAAAAAAAAAAATCAGAAGTACAGAATGAAAAGACTCGGGAAAAGAACCTACAATCTCTCAGCGAATTGAGGAAATAAGGTGCTTCCACCTGTTAAAATGATGCTGACAAGAAATACAACTGGTGTTAAGAAATAATAAACCCAACTAACCAGCACGTATGAAACTGCAGTAACCTGCAAACAGATCCATCAAATTCAAATACTTTGAAAGAATTACCTTTCATAGAGTACAGGGTGGAGGTGTGGATGGCAGCAGTTAACAGCTCGTACAATGCATTCTGCTAGTCCAGCCTCGTTCATTCCTGCAAAGTAGAAGAAACACAAGTAATAGGCAAAGGATCAAATTAGTCTAAGATACTATCTACCCTTAAGTAGCATTAATTGACAATAAAGCCTCAATGTTCAATGGATTCTTCATTCTTGTGTTCCAAGAACAATGCTCATATAATACTCGAGTTTAGCAAAAATATAACATTTTCCTCATGTGATACTTTTTAAGCAAGGGGGCAAGCATCTCGAACAGCGTTTGAAAATAAAAAGAATTGAAGTAAAACTATACAATACTAATCTGTCATTTACAGCCCTTTGACAAGGTCATCATTAATGAATTCCCAAAAGGGACTAAACTGACTGCAGAGAGCATGTCATTTGAGAGCAGTACTGGAACTATACATACCTAAATCAGCAGGATGGAAGATCATCTCTGGGACAAGAAAGCGTTCATTTGTCAAGTCAAATTCCTAAAGGAGACAAAGTGAATGAAAGAAATTAAAATTAGTTGACAGAAATGAATATTAAACTTCAAGTAGAAGGATGAGAACTACATTTTTTGTCAAATCAATTCTCCTTCTGTCCTCAGTCCTTTCAGTCATTTCTGGATGATTTATATCCTCCTTTGTTTCTGTTGGACGCAAAGGAGCATCATCAGCCAAAGTAAGATATCTGTGTACTTGATCTGGATATTTAACAAAGCCTTTTGTGTGTGTAACACCATCCGGAAGGACATATGTGCATCTAAAGAGATTTTCTTTTCCAGGTTTCCTACAGGTACAGGAAGGCAAATGAAAATCCTTTCTATCATTTTATTGTATTAACAAACGAAGTAAATGAAATTTATATAGCACAATAAAATCATACAACCCAATCACATATTTACAATGGTTTGGAATTATACAATGCAACAAGCCACAAGCACTAGAAGAAATTCAAGGAGTATGCACATCCAACAAGAAGTTCACAGATTTCGTGGTAGATTTTTCTCAAAGCAGCAAGATATTAGATCAATATTAAGTTGAATCATTTTCAAGTGTAAAGCAAAAAATAATGTTAAGCCACAGGAAAAAACAAAGCTGATAACCTTTCATAAACAACAATGCATTACCTTGCAATCTGGAGGTCCCGGGGAACATTGAGGGAAACAAAGCAGAGCTTCTCCTTAACATCATCCATAATGAAAGTCTCCTCCATGACATTAACAGCCCTAAAAGAAACCAACTCCTTGAGATAATTGGTCAATGCTTTGCCACCCAAATCGATCCTCTTCACGCCATAATTCAATGTGAAGTTCTGAAACACAGGTGAGGCGTGCGTGAATGAAAACCCACAATCCACAACAAGGCTGCACTGGGCTCTAGAGACAAGACCTTCAGGCCTTCGACTTGCCTCATAGAGATGAACCAAAGAGGGCGAGTCAGCCACATAAAGAGACTTAAAGTTGAAATCCTCAAAGACAAGCTCATCCATAGATCGCTGAATGGAAGGGAGCGTGAAGAGAGGTTCAGTGAGGAGGAGGGAAGAGTGTGATGAGTTTATGTGGAGGACGGAGGAGAAGAGGTGAGCCCATATTTCTCGTTGAAGTTCAGGATTTATCATGTAGCCTCTGTCCATAGGCCGTCGAACTGCAGCAGAGGTGAGGTCCACTTCGCTGGCTGAGGATGGTTCCATAGTGGTGGTGGTGGTGGTGGTGGTGGGGTTGAGGGGGTTTGGCTGGAGCCATTTTTTGGAGGACGGAGGACGGTAAAGGCAATTGGGAATAACAACTGAGGGGTCAAACTCTCCACCAAGACCAGCTTTGATTAAGCCTCCACCATTGTCAAGAACCACCACATTGTGGGGGGACATGTTAGTGACAACAATCACGGCAATGAATGGTCGTGAAAACTATTCAAATCCCCCTCACTCTTGCGTATGCATCACAGAATACAATTCAATTCCCATTTGGCGTGAATAGGCTGTACAAAAGCGAGCTTATACCAAGCTTATTGATTTAAAATTGATGCGTTACCTGTGGGTCACATGCAAAATTATCAAACTTGCAAACTCAAGAGGGTAAACTCGACGCATAAACACATTAGAACGCATAAGAGATTACGCATGTGATACAACAAGTCAGCGAAGTACTCAGCATAAGCCACAGGTCAAGAGGACTTAATAGTTATAAACCTACCATTTTTCTTACCTGTCTAAACTCTGTAGTCTACAGAAAGCTAGACACTTATGGATTGCAGTGCTATTTTTCAAATGTATACTACTTGCCTTATCGAAAGAATTACCTCTGCCCTATTTCAAGCTTGTGAGGCTTGGAGCTGAAGCTTCGAGAGCAGTGCCGGCCAGCGAAGAAAACCCGCGGAACCCATCACTGCCGGCACCTAGCTTCCGTAGCAGTAGGAAGAGCCTTCGACTTAGAACGCTTTTCAGTTCAGTTCTGTCTTCAGGTCAAAAAAAGTTCAGTTCTGTGTTTGTGCGTTTGAGCGAAAGAACGAAGATCGCTGAGACGCCGACTGATAGGTTTGATTTGAGATTTGCGCATTTAGCTTCGGTGCCTAGCAGAAATAAACGGAACGGACCCTCTGAGAGCTGAAACTGAGTCCTAGTCCTTATTTGGTACCGAAGACAGAACAAAAAACCCTTAAAAAAAAAACGGAAACAAAAAATTACTAGTTTTTTTTATTTTTAGAAAATGAAAAAAATGAAAAAATTGTGAAAAGGATCAAGTTAAAACCAAAATTGTGCAGTACATTGAAGGACTAAGTCTATTATTTTATTCATAAAATAATTTGACCAAATGATCAAAATGCCCCTCCATGTTAACTAAAGAAAAAATTATGAAAAAGGCACAAAATTTTATCGCTGGAGCTCCAACGACCTCTGGCCAGAGTTCCAATAATTGATGGTGCCCTTGTCAGAGCTTCTTGCCAATAGGTGAAGGGTCATAGGAAAATGTCACTAGGAAAATTCATAACCCTTTAACTACATGTAATCATCAAGGATTACATGTAAACTCAACAACCAAAGGATGCAAAGATTCTGGCTAAGATACATGTAATCTCTAATGAATTACATGTAAATCAAACGCACAAGGAACATGCCCCTATCAATCCCTCATAATTACATAAAAATGATTATGGATTACATGCAAATTAATATGGAAAAAAATTTACGAGTAGGCCTGTGGAATAGTTTGTATGTAATCTTTAACAGATTACATGTAAATTAAACACATAGAAAGCACTCCCTATTAATCCCTCAGAATTACATGAAAACAAATTTAGTAAATTAATATGTGAAAAACTCGCAAGTATGACTAATGAATGATTTACATGTAATCTCTAGCGGATTACATATAAATCAAACACATAAAGAGCACATCCCTATAATGCCCCTGAATTACATAAAATAATTATGGATTACATGTAAATCAATATATGAAGAAATTCACAAGCATGCTTGAGGAACAATTTACATTTAATATCTAACAAATTAAATGCAAACCATTGTCATTGCTCCTAAATTACATAAAAATGACTATAAATTATATGAAAATTATTAAGCCAGAAGCTTTGCACCCTAAACCAGATTCCTTACACCCAAGTCAGAAGCTTTACACTTAAGCCATACCCTTTGCACCCAAATCATATCTCTTATACCCCAAGCCATAACAAGTGCAATTTAAGCTAGAAGCCTTACACCTATAAATCAATGAAGCAAAAATCAATGGCATGAAATAATTTTTCTAAATTTTAGATTGAATCATAAATGCCATGCTTTTGGACAATTATTGTGCTTGATAGCTTTCAACTAAATCTAAGGTAACGAAACTAATTAACACAGCAAGGTAAATTGGTTTTGATAGCTACTAAGAAACTTAATATTTATACTTTACCAAATAAAAACAATGCCATAAATTTGGTTTGGAAAACAAGAAGAAGAAACTAGTCCTTGTTAAGTGGTAATATTAAAAGAAGACTCATTATTTGGCCCTCCAAATTGTGCCATAGCATCAACAAAAAAGAAGAAACTAGCATTAGATGAGAGGATCTATTACACTACCACCATAATCAAAATGCTGGCCATGAACTAATAAATTATTGTCAGCTAGACTTGAATTAGGAACAATCTTCAGTTGATACATTTGTTATTTAACTAACAGCAGTGGAATCAAAATCAACAAAATGAGCCATGGGAATTAACAAGAATTTCACATAATCACAAACATCAACTTAGAAGTGCAACCTAAAGAAACAACATTATGAAGAGTTATTTAAAATTTCCTAAGTTGAGAAATGCAGACTTCTTAGAATGTCAACAAATATGCCTTTTAGTTATTCATTAAACTAGGAATACAAAGTATCAGCATAACCCAAGTAATAGCACAAATGGCTAATGCACAAATTTAACCTAATTTACAAGGCCCAAACCAAAATGGAATAAGTTACAACTAAAAGAGAGAGAGAGTTGGTTATTTATAAGAGAATAGTTTTAAGGCCTTTATTAAGCAATAGGTGACTAATTTCACAGCAAATAGATAAATCTAAAATTCAAGAAGGGATTGCAGACTATAAATTGCAAATTCACCAATTCAATTTCAAACCATAGACTTTTAGGATGAAAGAAAAGGAAACATTAATGATGGCCAAGCATTTGTAAACAAAGAAAGTCATTAGCTCTTAGATGAAATCCATTAAAGATCTACTATCAACATCATTGGGGGAAAAACAAAAAGGTCCTTTTATGCCTTGCTTGGCTAAGTATTGATTCATCATTAATTTTTCTAGAGTATATTTTCGTAATTTGTGATTCTCATCTTTACTTTTCCTTCTAGTTAAAGCTACATCTTCCCCTTCCATCTCTATAGAAGATTGCAAATCTTTAGGAGTGTTTTGCATCTCAGTAGTAGTTTTGGATGATGTCTCAACAAATACAGCAGCCTATCTTGCAAGAGGGAAAAAATCATAAATAAAGAAGCAAAATAGCATGATAAAATGGCATCGAAAAGAATATTAAATTCCAAATTGAGTTAAAAAAAAAGACTAACACTAAACACATTTTAGGATCTTTAAGTTTTCATAAAAACACCAAAAAACTAATAGAATTAAAGAAATGCAATTGACTCTTATTTCACCCAATCAAAGCCAAATATGCAAGTATAAGGCACTCATGCTTTGAGCTCATGCATATGTATTATCTCCAATTCTTCAAATCCAATCCAACAAGATTCAACTTTCATACTATAGAATGTCCAACAAATGTTATATGTATCCTTTCTCCTTTTTGTTTCTTCCTATACTGTTGCTTTGCTTGAAAAATTTTACTTGATTGTATGAGATTTTAGTGGAAAAATCAAGAGCTCCAAGAATAATCAAAGTAGGCATAACATTTAAATTGAGCTAAAATGATTAAAAGAAACTAATTGTACAAGCCTCAAGTTCAAAACAACTAAAAAATTAAATTTTACAATATGGTAGATGCAATTGTCAATCATTTCAATATGCTTCACACAAAAATTTAAAAGTGATATTAAAACATAATCTCAACAAGAAAATAGAAATCAAAATACAGATAAAGAAATGCTTTATCGAAGAGAAAATGAAAAGCCTTTTAAACATATATTGCAAGAGATCTTCTTGACAGTAGCCTTTTAAAGATCTAAGAGAACGGAAAAAGAAAGACCCCAATGGCCCCAACCTCCACCACTAACAGTAGTAGGTGGAGACGGGGTCGCCTCTTCGACGTTTGCTTGTTTTGCAACTTCCTTCTTCTCCTCTTTCATCTTAGATTCCTGGAAAACTATGATAATCTTGTCACAAATCTTAATGATATTCTATTGTTTTGCAAAGGGTTCAAGGGAGATTATGTGCTATGGCAGGAACAGCTGTGAAGGTGAGTTCGAGAGTGATTGATGGTAATGAAAGTAAAATGTCAAAGGAAGAAGGCGATGGCTTGGAGAAGCAAGGGCATCAAAAATCATCTTTGATCTGTATGCTTTCTCCCAAGGCATTTCCATTCTCTTCATCCTTTTATGAATAAAACAATAAGTTTAGTCCTTCAAAAACATTTGGTTCCTAGGACTAATTTGCTTTTCAATTTGGTCCTTTTTACTAATTTTTCTAAAAAAATATAATATCCAAAATTAAAATATCCATGAATTCTACTAAAGTAAGAACCTTAATTTTCTTTGTGAATCCCTAGACCCTTGATCTAATGACCTTTACATCATTATGTTTATGTATGTATGAACTTTGAGTGATTATCTTATCTACATCTAGACATGGGCATATCATTTCGAATGGCCTGCTTTACTTTATCAAGTGAAAGCTCTTCATCTTATGTATCAGACTTTCTTATTACAGCATCAAATTATGGTAAATAAGAAATCAGGATTCGCCTTATTGGGAAGTTAAAGAAAGTCTTAGTTCCTAAAAAAATTGGAAACCAATTGCTTGCATCTATATGCTAGACTAAGAGCTAAATGCGACTCTAGAATAAGTTGAATAGCAAAGTAGGGATGGAACATTAGCTAAGGAGATGACAAAGGAAAGGGTATTCTTTGACCATACTTTTCATTCAGTCAAATTTACTTTCCTCTTTGACACCTTCCTTTGTTTCAATTTTGCTAGAATTATTTGGTTTAGTTTTTTATCTATCAAACCCTAAGATATTTAGCCAAGAGAGTTCGATAAGTGGCTTAAAGACTTTGTAGGTGTTCATCTGAGGAACAGCTTTTTCTATAGGGAATCTACGCTAGTGTTACATTTGGTATAATTAATGGCCTCATAACTTAGTAGTTTGTAAACTTTTTTATAAGTGAGAGATCATGAGTTTGATCTTATTTGTAATCTTAGGATATTGGTACTCACTCCTATAAATAAAAAATGTTATATTTGGTATAAAATGAAAATGAGAATGGGAATGAAAATAGAATAAGCATGAAAAAAGAATTTTCTTATAAACCTATTCTCTATCCATAATTAAAAGACGCATGACTAATTACAAGAATACCAAACACATGAGTTTAACTTTCCTTTTTCTTATTCCCCTTTTTAAAAAAGATCTTTTCTGCATGCCAAACTTTATGCAGTTATATTGAGAGAAAAAGAAATAAAAATGCCCATCCATTTTTGTTGAGAAAGCTCTAATAAAAATCAAATTCCTTTTAAATTATATTTTCTCAGCATATGATTTGAAATTTGAAGCTACATCAAATCTCACATGCACACACACGCACACACGCGCGCGCGTGCACGCACACCCACACACACTCACACATTATTGAAGTTAATATGTTCCAAGGAATGCTATAATGAGAATATGAATCTTCAATCACTTCCCCTCCTAACCATTGCTTGTAAGCAGAGTCAGAAATAACAAACGGGCCTAAAGGATTAGTCTTAGAGGCCTTGCTTATATTAGTGTTTGAGTTTGAAAAGTTGATTTTTTTGAAAAATCAGGCCAAGGTGACCAGCCCTTGAGAAAAGGGTTTGGGCCTAAGCGGTACACCAAACCCTATTCCTTAAAAAATCAATATTGGTTTAAGTATTGTGTTATTAAAATAATTGGTATTGGTATTTTTGTCATTTATTTT